GTAAGATCTTGTCTGGCCCAGCAAGAGTAATCATTCTCCATTTTGCTCTAAAGTTCACATGAATTTTGTGCTTATATCGACTTATATCGATACTAAAACCAACAGAGAGATTCTTTGTCGGCAAGCCAGTCCTGTTTAATCCTGATCCTGCACCTTTCCTCGCGTCAACCGTTTAGGAAATGGGTAAAATTGACTCCTCCAAAGTCTTGGGATATCAGGTATTCTGTTTACAGCACCCCACAAAAAACACTACGGAATATACAGTGGGTGCTTGAAAGTTTGTAAACCCTTTAGAATTTTCTATATCTCTGCATGAACTTGACATAAAACATTGTCAGAAGTCCTAATAGTAGATAAAGAGAACCAAATTAAACAAACGAGACAAAAATATTAGACTTGGTCATTTCTTTATTGAGGAAAACGATCCAATATTACACATCTGTGGCAAAGTATGTAAACCTTTGTTTTCAGAGCAGCAATAACTGCAACAAAACATTTCCAGTAACTGTTTATTAGTCCTGCACATTGGCTTGGTGGAATTTTAGCCCATTTCTCCATACAAAACAGCAGCAAGTGTTATGTTGGTGGGTTTCCTCCCACGAACTGCTTGCTTCAGGTCCACAACATTTCTATAGGACTAAGGTCAGGACTTTGACTTGGCCATTCCAAAACATAATATTTATTCTTCTTTAACCATTCCTTGGTAGAACGACTTGTGTGCTTAGGGTAGTTGTCTTGATGCATGACCCACATTTTCTTGAGTTTCAGCTCACGGACAGATGTCCCGACTTTTTCTTTAGAATTTGCTGGTATAATTCAGAGTTCATTGTTCCATTAATGATGCAGCAAAACAGGCCCAAACCATGATACTACCACCACCGTGTTTCACAGATGGGATAAGGTTTTATGCTGGAATGCAGTGTTTACCTTTCTCCAAACATAACGCTTCTCACTGAAACCCAAATGATCTATTTCGGTCTCATCCATCCACAAAACATAGTTCCAACAGCCTTCTGGCTTGTCCATGTGATCTTTAGCATTCTCCTCGCAACCCTGCCATGCACACCACTGTTGTTCAGTGTTCTACTGATGGTGGACTCATGAACATTAACATTAGCCACTGTGAGACAGGCCTTTAGTTGCTTCGAAGTTACCCTGGGTTCCTCTGTGATCTTGCGGACTATGATCTTTGTTGGTCGACCACTCCTGGAGAGCGTAACGATGGTCTTAAATTTCCTCTATTTGTACACAATCTGTCTGACTGTGGATTGGGGGAGCCCAAACTCTTTAGAGATGGTTTTGTAACCTTTTCCAGCCTGATGAGCATCAACAACTCTTCTTCTGAGGTCCTCAGAAATCTCCTTTGTTCGTGCCATGATACACTTCCACAAACATGTGTTGTGAAGATTAGACTGTGACAGATCCCTGTTCTTTAAATAAAACAGGGTGGTCACTCACACCTGATTGCCATCCCACTGATTAAAAACACCTGACTCAATTTATCTGCTAATCCTAAAGGTTCACATACTTTTGCCACTCACAGATGTGTAATATTGGATCATTTTCCTCAATAAAAAAAATGACCAAGTCTAATATTTTTGTCTCATTTGTTTAATTTGGTTCTCTTTATCTACTTTTAGGACGTGTGTAAAAAACTGATGACGTTTTAGGTCAAATTTACGCAGAAATATAAAAAAATTTCTAAAGGTTTCAGAAACTTTGAAGCACCATTGTATCTGAAAGTTTGAAGGGCCCAGGCATAGTTATCTGTGCTAATTTAGGACTGGACAATCATTTAAGGGAAGGGTTTAGCAAAAAGACAGTTCCAGAGCTGTGAAGTCTTCTCTACTCTCCTCACTACACCGACCTCTGTCGAGTACTCATACAGGTTGAAGGGGGACCAGTGACGTGAGTTTGCAAGTTGTTTAGGCTACAACTGTCGATAATTAAACTTGATTATTAAGTTGTGTCTGTGAACCAATTTTTTTTTTCCATTCATGATAAAACAAACAATAAGCCATTCTGCCCTGCAATCTGTCATTATGACCATTTTAAAATATGGACATTATAGAGCTTTTGTACAGCGCACTGCTAATAAAAATTCACACCGATTTTACGAACACGTTTATCGACTAATTGTCACAGCTCTTGCATGCTGGCATGGCTGACCTTTGGGCCAGCAGTTGGGATCAACGTGCAGCTGTTCAGAGTCCCTCGAGCCCTGCACCGCTGCCCCCATTAGCAAATCAGAGGGACCGCCTCACTCATACATTTTCATTAGGCTGTGGGCTTAATCTACAATGACTTGGACATTATCACGCTTCTTAGCCAGCTTCTTCTCACCTCTGACCCTCAGCTAATCAGACTGAAGCGCTGTGCCTCACTTGAGCAAAGCAGTGGAGTTAGCCTCCAACTCCCCTGTCTCATGTTAACACCCACCATGATCATTATACTCTCTGCGAGACCCTCTTAGGCTGGAAGTGTGATTGAGAGAGACAGAGGCAAGAAATAAAAAAGGAAAAACACAGGCGAAACACAGGGGAGCCAGGCCACACGAGTTGATCGCAGAACACCTCCCGTCACTTCGCAGCCCCCTCTCCCAGTCTCTGGAGTCCACGGTGCTGAAATGAGGTCCAGCCAGGGACAGCGCACATCTGCAGCTGCTCTGGCCCGAAATTGCTCCCTGTTCCCTCCTCTCACACAGCTGGCAACACCCATGGTAACGTGCCACGGGATGATTTCCAGAAAGTAAATTAAACCGGAATAAAACAGCCCCGTATGTGTAACTGCAGGCCACACTGTAAACACTCGACAACGTTGTTTTCTGGTGGCCATTTTCAATAACAATGACAGTGTTGGGTTTCCACACTGTGGCCTGTCCAGACCATTATAGTAATCACGGAGTGTGCGCTTACAAACACACATGCAGCCTCAACTCATGATTACATTAGCGGAGTTAGCTTTTCAATTATGAAAATACATTTTATATATTTGTTTAAAGTGGTTTTAAACCTTTGGTGAAATTTGCAGCAGTACTTTGAAAGACATAAGAGTTTCTCTTCGGGCTATTGGGTATTTTTGTATCACCTGCCCTCTGCAAACCTGCTTGTTGTCGACTAAATAACTTTTTTTTCACTACCTGAAAATGACATTAAAATGAAATAATCAATTTAGACATACTTGCTGACACATCTTCTTGGCAGCTTCTACTTCGCAGAGCTTGAGGTGTACTTTTCTTTTATTTTTTTTTCCCCGTTTTGTTTTCACTGCGAACCAGTCAGTCGTAAAATCATGAACATGTGTTAGCAGTGTTTAATGCAGGATCCTCACAATTCACTTTGTAAACAACCTTTCTAACATTAGCAGTACAATGGAAATTTCCCTTAATACCATGACTGGATTCCTTTTTTTTTTCATGTTAGAACCATGTATCTTTATATTTTATGATTTATTTTAAACCAAAGCTTAAACAAAATCTGACACTTCTAAGAGGCATTCGGACAACATATTGTTTGTATGTTGACTTCTTCAATATAGACTTAAAACGGGCTGCAATAAATATTGATAAAACCCAATAAATACGATAATTAAAAGTTGCAGAAACAGAAAAGCCTTTCAAATAACCGCCAGGTTTACCACTTTTATGAACCCGGGAACTTCTGTGGGGAAACAAACGCTAATCGAGCCAAACACTAGATTCTCAACAGTAGCACGCAGCTGCAGCTCTGCACATCGATCAACACAAAGCGGACTCCTTGTGATTTGGCAGAGTTTGTAGACTCTCACAGTTCCAGACAATAGTTTTAACTTCAGATGCAGCCCAAATAAGTTTTGTACATCCCTGGATTGCTAACAGGCTCTCAGTTGCGTTTATTACTGAGAAGAAATGAGAGTGCTCTGGCTAGCCAGCTGTCCAAAGCGGTAAGAAAATGATTGATATTTGCTATAGTTCTAGACAAACTTAAAGCCTATCTCTGAATATTATCAAAGACTGTCAGCCAGACTGTTTGCTGAGCCGGTTAGCCTACTCTAATAAAGACAGTATCCAGTCTAATCAGCCTTCAGAGAGCCTGTTAACAGCAACCAAAAGCCTCCCATTACGTATAAAGAAGCTCTTTGGGGGAATTGGCGTATATTATCCACAAATGTCATTACGGATGTCATTTGGTCCTGGCAGGTGACGTACATCACATAGAGCTAATAGATAAGAGAACAGTCAATTGTAAGAGAAAATGGGGGAGTTTGAAGTGAAAATGTTGATGATAATCAAAGGATTCACACAAAATACATATTATGGCTTTAAAATGATTCTTATTAGCATCATATATCACTCATATATATATTTATTTATTGTAAGTTTTTGTTTTATTTTTTGCTATTCCTGGATCCACCATCCTTTTAAGTTTCCACATATGTGGAAAACTTAAAAAGCCATTCCAGTATAGCAATTTATGCTACTGTTGATCAGATTGTGCTATTGTGATATAAGTAATAGGTAGATATATAAGCTAGAATAATCATGACACATGGTAAAAGTGTGTAAAAAAGACATAGTAAAAGCATTGGTAAAAGACACAGCAACAGCAAGTTTGGATCATTAAAAACAACCCTTGCGGGAGACACAGAGATCCTGAAGATTATCCGGGATTATCCACTAAACCACAAGAACAAATGGTGTTTTGAAACGAACAGCCTCGCAAGATATGAGGCAGGACACTCTGGAGTTGGCCGTGATATATTCTGCTGAGGAACAAACTTACCTTTGGGACAGCAGAAAACCTAGAAAAGTTCACTGTACTCAAGGTCTGCATTAACACAAGTGACCCTGGTTATATAACTCAAGCACTGAGTCAAAGAAACCACTGTGGCAGGCATGGCTGACCTTTACTGCCTTAAACTGCTATATGCACTGGAATTCTATATTGAGCTGGAGGGCTCATGCTCCTGAAGGGGCCTACCTCTGTACTCAAATTTCTGCTCATCTTTTAGGGATTACTCACCCATCGTTGGAACAGGTGAGGAACTCTTCTTTGATCTTGGGGTGCCAACAGCCGCTGTTCAGCATGGCCGTGTGGCCCTGTGGAGCAACACAAGACAAACAGCTTGACATCAACTGTCTCTGTGGGCCTCAAACACAGAGTGTGAATAGAAGGAATGTTAAATGTGCCCTGTGGGTTTTTTTAAGTACTGTTAATTTACAGGCAACTGAATAAGATGCGATGACAGTTCAGCAGTAAAACACAGGGTTCTAATGTAATCTTTTTGCCAAGAAACACTGGTGCTTCTGTACTGAAATGAACAGGAAAACACAGAAAAGTACAACTTAATATGAACTTTTTTTATTCTCTCTTTTTTCTTCATTTCTCCCATCAATCAGAAAGGATGCTAATTCAGCAATCAGGTTTTTCCTGCATTGTCCAAGCCCTTAAGGATGATTTGAAATCAACATTAGAACATATTTTCCATCTTTCAGTATTTATTATGTTCTTTCTTGACAGTTTCTTTCATTTCATCTGCGTTCATGTCATTTATCTAGTCAACAGAAAGTATGTATTTTGCACCCTGCAGATCTTGTCAGTTTGGCCTGTCAGCTTGTTTACTGGATAGTCAGTCTTGATGGATTCACACTTTATTAAAAGTGTATTATAACAATGCAATTTGTGCTAAAGAGAATGTAGACTAAGGCCTAATCCCATTTCACCCCTTGCCACTACCACTGCTCCCTTCTCTATTGCGTGTTCACGCCTAGGGGTAGGGTGTCCCGATTTTTGTGGTGATAAATGGGTAGGGTGAAGTGTTGGGGCTACATCGCTTTTCAGAGGCACAATCCAAACGGAGTGTTATGAAAAAAAAAAAGAAAAAACGGCAAGATGGCTGCGCAAGCGACCAAAAAAAACCTACATATGTGAGTATTTTCTGTGTTAAAAAATGATGACAACCATTGTATCTTAGTTTAATGCCACTTCAATGTATTATGGCCCTTTTCTTCACAGCAAGCATAAAAAATATTAGTAGTATGCTAAAGTCTCAGTAGCTAGCTAGCTAAATTCCCTGTTCCTGCTGCACCATTTAGGGTAGAACGGGTAAATTCCATAGCTGACTTCAGCTTTATATAACTGGAGAATTAGGGGTGGGTGATAATAAATAATTGCCGCACCACCCCCTCTTTGAAGGCATATGATACCCTAAATTTAACTAAGCGAGGTGCTTAAATTTCACCCCAGTCACTGCAGACTGGCAGGGTCGCCTACAGAGCACCGCTAGTAGCCTGTTAATGATGTAATGTTCTTTTTTATTTGAGGGTCCCATTTCGTAGTGGAAGATTTCAACCACTACCCCTTGCAACTCAGTTCCAAGGAGCAAGGTGACACTCGAAAACAAGGGGTAGGGGTAAAAATAAGAAATGGGACTGGGCCTTGAGGCTTCTTAAAAATTAAATGAGTGCACCAAAACTTGTCTTGTTTGGAGTCGGTTCTTATCAGTGAGCTAAGCCAATTGATCTGACTCACTGAAAAGAGCTGGAATGTCCATCACTAGCTGTGCAATTTTTTATAGCACACCGATGAACTCTACAAAACTCATTTTTCCCTAGTTTTAATTTGAAGTCTAATCAAATTTAAAAACACTCCATATGGAATATTTCTCTGTTATTTGAGAGGGCCATTTAGCTGCTAGTTTCTCTGCATTGCATCCATTTTGTGTCCTGTTTAAATGCTAGCATGTGAAATCAACACGTTTAGCTTTAATTTGGCTAATATTGCTGGGCAGTGAAGGTGAGATTTACGTGAAAGTGCAGCAAAGGCAAAAGAGTTTAGCAGTGAACCAGCAGCTTTTAACTTTTTCAGATTTGACAGCTATGCTGGTTGGTCATTTTGCAGGTTAGTTAGGCTTATTATGACATGCGCGATGAGTCATTAAGCTAATTTTCTCCTAAAGCCCTGCAAATATAGTTGCATTTGAGGGCAGTGGCATGCATAATGGAGTGGTAGGCTATTCAGAGGCAAAGTCTGTCATCGTAGAGGCTCCAAAATCAACACTGTGGTCACTTTTTCTTTTTTAAAGGAGCAAATGTGAGCATTATGCTCAAACTGCAGAACCCCGGTGCCCTACAATAATTACGAAACGAATATTTTCCCTTAAGCCAAAATATCCTTTTCGTATCAGACACTCACTCATTCCACACCATTTTCCTAAAAAGAAACAAAACTGCTTGAAACAAGCCTCCTCAGGAGCCCAACCACCCTCAAATGTTTCAAGCTGTGTGATCACTCACTATCAACCTCAAGTGATTTCCTCTGTTCAAACAGCACAGTAAAATTAGCCATAACAAATAACAACTTCAAGCGAGGTTTGCTCTGAGTGAAGCTCCTCGTGCCCAAAAACAGAACACTGGAGCGCTGCAATCACGGTGGAGTGGAGAGAATTTACTGCAAGTGCCCCATCCAGCCAATTAACCTGCACATACATACACGTAACCTCAAAACCAATTTGACCTGTTTTGGAGTAGCAAAGCAGATCAAACGAGCGGGAGTTGGTTCTCTCTTTACTGTTCCGCACCGAGTTCTCAAAGCTGCGGGCTAATCACATCTCTAATGGTATGACAAAGTTAATTTCTCCCATACGGAAAAAAAGAATAACAAAATAAACAACGGTGGTCAAAGTGCCAGAGATTCAGTTGAATAGGAGGAAGTGTTCTTGCTATGCATGTACGACCCACTCTTTCAACAGCACAAGACAGCTAATTGGCAATGACTAAATAGAAGCAGACAGACACTGGTATATATTTACACGCACGCAGGAAAACATGCCGAGCGCCCCACAAGGAGAAACAGCTAAATTACAAACAGGAGCAGGGAGAAGTGTCACTCTAGATTCTAGGAAAGCCCTGTGTGTGTGTGTAAGGGAGAACGTCTGTGAATGGCATGCGGATACAGCACATTAGCCTGGGTCACCTTCAGTGGGCCACCGCTCAGCTTCACTCCACAGAAAACTGCCTGCAAATTGGAGGCCAATGGAGCAGCGCAATGTTCTCACAAGGGAACTAAAAAAAGAGGCACACCCATTCACCCGGGTGTGTGCGCGTGTGCTGTGTGACTGACTGTGTGGGGCGCAGGGAAACGGACAGACGACCAGGTGCAGTGTTTAGTGACCCTTCAACTCACTGATGCAAGAATTTGAACCACACTTCATTAGGACTTCAACAAACACAGGCTCCAGATGCAGCAAACAAATAGCAGGACGCACCCATAAACTAACCAGGTCACTGCTCGCTACTTCTGAACTAACTTCTTGGAACCTTTCTGTCTATGACCAACTCTAAAGAAATGAGCATTTCTTCCAAATCAATCACAAAACTGACATGGAGCAAACTACACAGGTCACTCACAGCCATAGAAAAACAGCATTTAGTGTTTTACAGCCTTTCAAATCCCAGGCTGACGACAAATTTTTGGCATACTTCAGAATAATCACATCATTAAAGTTCCTGTCGACATGGCTGCAAATGTTTACAATTTTATTTTAATAGTAAAGAAACACTGCGGATTAAGCATTTATGATTGTTACTTTCAGGAAATATTTGTAAAGTAATACAATTCAATAGTACTTAAATGCTCCCAATATTCCAAGCTGCTGGCTGCTCACAACTGTGTGAGTGTGTCAGAACACACATCACCACCGACACCAGAGATGACACATGCAGCAGGCTGGATCAGTGGGATTCAGCCCCACACACCCGAGCCCCCCTGCGGGAAAATAAATGACCTGCTCTTCTCGGCTGCTCCCTGGACGGTAAGTAAAAAGTACAAAACGGAGAACAAGCGGCTAATGTTCGAGAACTCTGGCTTTCATCTTATGACGGGCAGATCACAGACATGTTGTGTCTGTTATTTGAATGCTCAGCACTAATGTTTTATCCATAACCTATAGCTAGCTAGCCAACTGGTCACAAGCTTCCATTAAAGTCAGTACAGTCATATGTAGAGACATGGTGGAGACGTCTTTCATGTGCCTCATTGTGTGCCACATCTGTAAAGTTAAATAGTGGGAATACACTGAGAGCCTTGACGTAAGTGGGGAGACAGCTAACAAAATGCTAAGCTAACATATAGTATCGCTTATAATAGGACACAACAGGTGTCTAATGCAAGTAGGAAGCAGCGTCTAACAAATTTAGAAAAGCTTAAATAACCTACTTGCTGGGAGTTTTGGATGGGAGTCAGAGCAGAATCTCTCAACAGTTTAATCTTTGGTGTATTCATATGATCAAACTCATATAGGTGTGTAAAATTAAGCATAACGCTTTAACAACCTAAATAAAATTGCTGACTTGCAGTTAACTAACCAAAATTATTTTCAATATCATCCATAATATCAAAAATAAGAATAAAAATAAAAAAATAACAACAATACAAGTAATATGTGCACCACAATTCAGGCAATCCATTACAAAAGTGGACGTACTTATTTTACATGCACATTTGTATAAACAAATGCTGCAACTATGTAATGTTTCATTTAAAGACGTACTACACTGTGCCTTTGCTTTGTCCTACTATAGAAAAAAAATACACAGCTAATGCAGAACAGCATTTAAATATATTATTTTAAGAAAATAAACACACTACTCAATCACATGATTCTACCATATTTAAAAAAAGACGTTTTGTTTATTTCACACCAGATTTTTTCCAGTTGTAATTTTAACATTATAAAGTCTAGTCAGTAGGGGGAGCAGTGTGCTCACAGTTCACCCTCAAACTCCACCTACGTGCACAGCCTTGGGCTCACGAGCTGCTGAATGCTGTCATTTTATTGTCTCCCTATGAGATCCTGGTAGGCATTTGACACACTAAAGCTGGTTCATCATTTGCGCTCAAATCTCCACTTGTTTCCAGGTGGTACGAAAGCTTCATTAATCAGACACAGAGTAGTTTATACATCATGTCATTAACACGGTCAAATCCGTGTCCTTTCTTATGCAACTCTGATGACTAAGAGCCCTACGTCTCTAAAAGCTGCCTCAAATAAAATAGCGAAATATCTGTGTTGCAGCCACTGCGACCTCTGGTTACTATTGCCATCACTGTAAAGAAAATCAGTCTATAAAATCTTCTACAATGCCTTCTACAATTTCAAATCACTCTGAATAACTTTGTGACTGAATTATGCAGACGTTTTGTAAAAACTGGAATTCATTTAGTGATTCAAATTAATTCAATGTATCATACATTGTAACGAGAACATCTGAGGGACAATAATAAGAAATTCTAAGCTAAATGTGAGTAGGAATGTAGACTTATTAGGAAGGTAACCGATAAACCAATCCAACGTTTCTTGAAGGCAGAGCTCAAAGTAGGAGCCGATGGTGCATAATACACAGAATAAAAACAAACACGACCTCTTGCAAAAGGAAAACAGTTTTGTTCACTGACAATAGCATTTTGCTAGCTTGTTTCACATGTGTTACTGATTAGCCTCCAGATGTTAAAAGAAAACGAACTCAAGAAATTTGGGGAGTGGGTTTTAGAGGGGGAGTATCATTGTTAGCGGCAGATTTTGCTGTAGTACAAGACCAAAGTTTAACAGGTGGTCCCTAGACCATGTATTCTGGTTATCAGATCAATTCTGACCCCATGAGACTAACAAAACCAATGCTCCACTAATATCAGTGCACCCTAAAATTGGCTAAATATCAATTCTGATGCTATAAAAGTTTGCTTAATAACATGGAATTACTGGTGAAGCAAAAATCCTTCAGTGCAAGGACTGTGCAGGTGACTGAAATATGGGTTAGAGTGGTGTATAGACTTAATATCTCCTTTCAGCTACGTTCTAAAGTGTTCTGCAGAGAAGCCACATAAGTTAAGGCATGGTACCTTGGTATTGGCCATGTCCACAATGTACTGGTCCCCTTTGACGCATTCTAGAACCTGAAAGCCATCCCGATCGAGGACTTTGGCTTGGGAATTTCCTGCCACCACCAGAATCACATCACCAGTGATGCTGTACTGCAAGGATCTGATTTGGTGACTGAAAGAAAAGAACACAGAAAGGTGTTACAAATTATAATAATATGCTAATATGTTAGTTTAAGTCCCACAGAAACAATTTAATTAGTGAGACAAAACGATCAAGATTTATATGGAACAATGAAAAACCTTGATCACAATTTAAGACTTCACAATTAAAATAAAAAGGGGGGAAAGTCATCACCCTGTCTTCAAAACTATTGCAGTCCAGTTCAGACTGCTGACCCACAAGCGTGATTCTATACACACAAATTGAAAGTTTTAGAAACTTAAGTTGCCTATCCTTATACAATTTGTAATGAGTGACAGGATGACCAAAAACATCTTAAATCAATACCCAGTATGCCATCTCTAGTAAAAAAGTACATAATAAAGAAAAGGCCAGTGGCTCTGAGTAGCCAACGCATCCAGTACGTTTTGTACAGAAAACAGCCATGCGCAACGTGTACAGGAAACTGTGAGAGACTTCATGTCTCTACCTCCACGGTCAAAAACATCTGCCTGTTGTGCAAGACTTCCGACCCTTCTGCTTGTTATATAACAGCTTTTAATTGTGAAAAGTCACATGGATGAGACGCCAAATAAAACAATATTTACGGTAGTCATAGTGATTTTAAACACAACAATACGCAAAAGTGGTAGTCTTTGTCGGATGTTTGGTCCGTTTAGTTCCTTCAGAAAAAAAAGCAGGGCATTCCCCGTACGGAGACTCCACACGGCGTTGAGATCACAAGATAAAGACAAGAAAAATAATAACAAAGTTAAGCTTGAGTGCGGTGTTTTCAGAGTAAACCAGATAGTATAATAGCAAACAAAAGTAAATTGTTTGAGAACACTGACAAAGAGAGAAAAAGCTGAAAATTTACGGTTTAAAACCACAAGCTTATTTCTCATTTTCTCTCCTTTGTATGGGCAGTACTGCACGTATCCCTCAGGGATCCAATCATAGTAATCAGACATACGTAGCACGTGAGTCAACATAAAAAACATTTAGGGGCAGCTATTCCTGAGTAAGGCCATGCGCATTTGACTTAGTCATGCTGAAAATGCAATGGAATTAGTTCAAAAGCTTGAATGCCAAAGCATGGATGCATCTCACGGACAGGAGTGTTACCCAGTGTGGGTCACTGCCTTTATAGTCTCCACATGGGCAGTATTGTCTTTGGCTGTGATGCGAGGAGTTTACTGGGGGAGGAACAGCACAGTTTGGCTGATGAGCTGGTTAATGTGCCGTGGCATCGCGCTGATCGTATGCGGGAAAGCCTGCTCCAGCTCAGCCAACTGGCTTCCAATATCTCAAGACACCCAGTTTTCTAAAAACTCACTAGGGTGGGTTTTTCAAATGTTCTTTTTAAATACATCTAGTATTCGAAGTTTCCTTCTTTATATCAGATAGAATTCTTTTGGAACAAAGTACTACGGTCAACAAAAACAGAACTCTTTGGCAATAACTCGGCTCATCATGTTTTGAGAAAGAAAGGCTGCGTGATCCGAAGAACACCATACTCACAATGAAATATGAAGGCGCAAGCATCGTGATCTGGTGCTGCTTCTCAGTAAGTGGCACTGTGGCGTTGCATGCCATACAACAAAACTTGAACAAAGTGATCTACCGGGACATATTCAAAGAGAACTGAATCTCATCAGCCAAAAAAGGGAGAAGACTGACCATCCTCAAAAGAGATCAGTAACACTGAGATATATAACTGGCTCACTACACCGATTCATCCCTTTTTAAAGGCTCAGGCTTTAGCGTGAACCTTTTTAAAGGGACGTTTGTTAAGTTCTTCTTCAGACAGCTTTCTACATGCCATGTGCTTATATTGGAAAAGGTAATAAACATTAACAGTGTTCCTTGTATATTTGTTTTTTTTCCTGTAGTGAGAAATATTACTCTAAAATGTAAATGAACACTGTCTTTTGAAAATATACACATTCCAAATACTTGTATTCCTTTACACCCCAATCCTGCTCAATTACCTTAAAAAGACTTGTGAATAATTTCAATTAGACTTGCTTATGTAGTTTCTGACATCAGGACATGTTACCTATAAAGTGTATAAAAGTACAGAAAAAGATGGCTGATACTACTATTTTAGCTGTGCAACATACTGTTTAGATACCTATTTTCATGTATTTGTTGATCTACTCCTTTACAAAAGAAAACGAAACAACATCTAGACATATCAAGACACAAGCCCTTCAACTGGCTCGGCATCTGGGTGCAGTTAGTTGGCCGGGCCGATCCGACATGAGAGAGAGGCCCCATTCCAGAGGGATGAGATCTAACGTACAACGATGCACATGGGGTCATGCGAGGCCCATGGGTTGAAGAGAGTGAGCCTAACGTAGATGGAGACGAGCAGTGCTGCTGACAGAGATGTTGTGGATCACTGCACGTTCTCACCATTCGCATGGCTGCAGGGACCTGAAGGCCTGCAGCGCAGCGTCCATCCCGGCAAAGTCCCAGAACTTGACGTCGTAGTCATAGCCCCCCGTGACCAGCCGAGCACCAGAGGGATCAAGGCCGAGCGCAGAGACCTGTGGAACACCAGACAGGAAAATGGCAAATCACAGGTTAAAATAAGCACAACGATACACATTTAATTGATTTCTCATGAACACATTTACTGATTCAGTGGGAAACGTGCTAATCAATGACAGCAAACAAACAGTAGCCAAGATAGTTTCATTAGTTTGCCAAGCTTACTTAAGACTTGCTGTTACACATTAAGCTGAGTGTACACTACATGACTTCTAAAATCTTAACAGATTTCGAAAATGGAGAGCACCACACACACAATATGTCAGTGTAGGGCAAGCACTCATAAAGATAAGGCAAAAAAAGGGTATTGCAGACATAACGAGCTTCGGCTATGAAAAGCTAAACTGTTCGTGCTTTTCAGCACGGACAAACTTATTTACAAAAAAGTTGGGACAGTAGGCAAAAAGCACATAACAACAGAAAGCAGTGATTTGTAAACTGTCTTTTATATGTATGTATTTGAAAACAAACACATTTAATATTTTATGTTACCAGTTTAAATGATTTTTGTAAATATACGCTAATTCCGAATTTGATGCCTGGAACACAATCAAAAAAAAGTTGGAACAGGGCAATGTACGACTGGGAAGTTTGCAAAACGATCACAAACACCTGTTTTGGAACGTTTCACAGGTACGAATAGGTAACAGGCAATGCTATCATGATTAGGTATAAAAGGAGCATTCACGGAAGGCTCAGTCATTTACGAGCATTGATAGCACGAGGTTTGCCACTTTGCAAAAATAAAAATTGGGTGAGTGAATATTTTTAACCTGTTCGAAACCATTACACACTGCACCCCAGCTCATGTGCACATCCATCTTATCATCCATGGTTTTATTCAGGGGCGCATTCACCCACTCCTCAAATTCCAGAGCCAATATGAATGCAGCTAGGCTACAACGTTAACAGAGAGACAGAGAGAGAGAGAGAGAGAGAGACAGAGACAAAGAGCTTGGGCAAGAGAGAGCAAGAGAGACTGCAAGGGAGAAAATGTGTGAACACATGAAATTTCACTCAGCGGGAAAACAAACTCAACACAAGCCCAATATTTTGCATGAAAAATAAGCCCGAAACCCAATATTTTGTCAGCACGATCAGCCTTGGGTTGGAGTACCAGAGCTCTAAAATATTTATCATTTTACACAGATGGTGTGGTTTGTTTAGCGTTTCAAGGACTCAGTAAAAAATATACATAAAAATAGATCAATTGTTTAGTAGACAGAGAGGAAACGTGTAGAAGAGACGGTTGATGTGGAGAGAGAAGAATTCTGAAGAGGTCTTTAACAATGGTATTACTGGGGAAACATATCTGTTTTCTATCATAAGCAGGGTTTTCGCTTGTCTTTTGTCATTTTAAATGATTTTGTTTACAAGGCTAAAGCTCATATAAGATGAACTGACACAAAGTGAAAATGTGTGCTGTGGTCTGACAAGTCCACTTTTCAAAGAAGAAAAGGACCGTTCCAATTGTTACCAACACAAAGTCCAAAAGCCAGTGTCTGTTATAGTGTGGGGAAGTGTTAGTAAGTAATTTGCACATTTGTGAAAGCACCATTAATGCTGAGGGATACATACACCAATGTATCCTGCCATTTATACAAAGTTTTTTTTTAGGGACATCCCTGCTTGACTCAGCAAGACAATACCAAGCCATATTCTGCATGTGTTACAAGTGTGGCTTCGTAGTAAGAGAGTGCAGGTGATACACTGGTGCCTGAGTGCAGTTCAGACCTGTCTCATTATGGCGCAATATACAACATACACGACTACTGAGCAGCTTCGATCAAGCAAAAACGAAAAAAAAATCCACTTTCACAGCTTGAACAACTGGAGTCCACAGTTCCGAAATGATTACTAAATGATATTAAAAGGAAAGATGATGTAACACTGAGGTAAAAATACTTCTGTCCCAACTTTTTTGGAACATGTAACAGGCATCAAATTTAGAATGTGCATATAAATACAAAAAACAAATAAGTTAATTAGCTAAAAAATGAAATATCTAGTCTTTGTACTGTTTTCAGTTGGACAGAGGTCAAAAAGGAGTTGCCAATCATTGCTGTCTGTTTATATTTACACTTTTCAACTTTTTTGGAATTGGCTTTGTACAGGAAACATAGCAAAAATGCAATATGTGGTTGAGAAATGCAGATTCCAGTGACAGCTGTAGAAATATTTTACTACTAACTGGAAGCTGGCTTGAAAGAGCGACTCTTTGCCTGTGTTCACCAAGCAGCTCCTTTATCCCTGCGACCCACTGCGTACATGTCTCTTCACCTTTTCTCTTTCTCTCCTAGCTCTCTCACCGGCTGCAGCCTAAATCACTCGTAAAACTACATCAACAACCAAAGGTCAAGCATGTTTAAAAAACCTCTGAAGGCCTCAGATCACTCCAAACTCTCTCACACTACAAGATCATCCTTGTTATTGATCTCTTCCAATCAGGATCTCAACCTGGAAAATTGGCGGCAATTCAGGGTTAAAACTGGGCTAGAAGTCATGCACTGTATGCCCAGCTTTAAGACTTTGTAAGAGTCAGGCACTCTGGCTTTTACAACTATTGTAAACAAAACTACTAGGCAAGTTCACTGTCCACTTTCATTTATAGGCCAATCCAATAGGTGGCATGGAAAGGATAAGTCACAGACACAAGACTTTTATTAAAAAATAATAATAATTAAATAACACACATACAAAAAAAGAAATAAGAACTCACTGTCTTGGTACCATGCTGAAGTGTGATCTCATGAGTGTCTGGAATCTTCTTTACTGGGTCCTGTAAATAGAAAACAAGAGACAGATGGAGAAAGTGAGTTAGAAATGAAACAGAAGTAAAATATGTACTTTCAAACTACATGAGGGTATCCCTCAGTCCAACACGACCCTAAGACAAAACAAAGAAATGTAAAGAACTCAGCCCCTCCACTTTACAGGTCTTGTTTTTCAGGCACCTGTGAATGTTTTTATTCAGACAAGACTAGCGGCCTCCCTCACAAAGCACATTCAAGGTTCCTGTCTCAAGTTTCAGCTTCACAGAACCTAAAAAAATGCAACTATAGTTAACTGGTTTTACAACAGAGGTTAACAACTTTCTCTGTTAACCCAGGTTTAGATGCTCAAATCACCTGATGACAATCTGATATCTATGGCAAACAGCCATTCGGGTAAAACATGAGGAGTCCAGCAACTGTTTTTGCAAAGAAGGAGAAAGAAATCATTCTACATAAATATGTAGAGACTACAGCATTTACTGTTTTAGTGAACAGCAAAAAGCAAAACCGCCGGCAGTTGGTGTGTTGCTTATAACAGTAATACCTGCTTTATATTCTTTATCACTATATAGTATATCTATTACTATGTAGTATTATTATTATTTGGCTTCTTCACTGAAAAATTATACTTTTCACAAAAACTTTACAGAGGAAAAAAAAGTGACAAGAAAAAGGACTGGAGGGCTCCATCTCTATTAGAAGGCTGTCCCTGATTGGTCAGAAACTCTGGCCCCATTGGTACAAGAGCTGTTTATGATCTAAAAGCAGGTTAGGCATGCAGCATACGTTACCACCCAGTAAAAAGTGATCCACCATGGTTAGATTGCTTAAAGATAAGCTTAAAGTACACATGAAGAGGAAATCTTAATGCATTTTCCTTCCGTACCATGAGATACTTCCAAGTGAAATATAGTAGTTCCTGACACCATGATGTTAGAGATATTATACATGATATTATTTGTTAATATATTTCCCCACCCGCTGGTGCATTAGGGACATAATCACAATTTTAGTAGTGTTAATGTTTTAAAGGTGGGCAAAAGTCGTTATACTTTCATAGAAAATGATGGTAAAACTAGAATTTTGTCTCTTAAATGAGATATGAGAAATCATGCCTAATATGACTAGTGACATGAACTAAAAAGATTAAAATAGGTTTCAGCTTGACTTTTTTCACAGTAGCCATAAAACATAATTTCTGCCGTTTTTTAAGCTTCCTCAGTTGTTTAGCTGCTCAGGGGCTCCCACCCCTCCACTTTCACCTCTCATTCCTCACTGGAAGGTCAACACAGTTATGGATGGAAATCATTTATTTGATTATAGTCATTAAATATATCCAAGTTGATCGGTGCTATCTATTTCATTGGCAGGCATCACTGTGACTAACATTGTGCTCGTAATGGGACTGTGGCTTCTCAGTAATGCTTTATAGCAAAACAAAGCCATTTGTGGCAGGTGTCACCTTTCACAACACCTGATCTCCAGTACGTTTTGAACAGGGATCATGATTGAGTGCTTTCCTTGCTCTAGCACACACATTTCAACTCAGGAACGGCTTGTTAATTAGCTGATTAGCTGGATCAGGTGTGCTACAGCAGGTGAAACAACAAAATATGCAGGGCTGGGGTGCTCTGGTAACAGGGCTGGTAACTACTAGTTTAGTGCATGGATGTCTGGTGCACCTGGTCTGACAGGAAGCATTTGCACCAGCAAAGTGATATCAGTGAGGCGGGCCCGTCACCAGCCGCCATATATCACGCAGGCCCACTGCGGCCATCAGCCACGGCGGCCCTGGGAAACGAGGGCATCTGCTCACTGTCTGCCGTGGCGTCAAAGCAGAGGAAACGTTCAGAGAGGCTCAACATGTCACACAAAGGAGTGTATTAGGGAGGGGTGAGAGAGAAAGAAAGGTAGAACGCACTTTTGCAGGGAGCGAGAGTGCGTATGTGTGACAGCTTCTATATACGAGTATATCTCGAAGTAATAATGGCAACACGCCAATGCAAGGGTGAAATGTAAGTGTCAGTAAGCTTTCTGAAGCACACTGTTATAGTGTTAGTTATAATGTGAGTATTACTGCTGTAATAGCAACATACTGCACAATAGTAAATCATAAACTCGTTGGTTGATTGATGCTTCAAAGATTATAGCAGAAGAGACAGAGTCAAACAAGAATTAGAAGGTAAAATTATAAAAAAAAAAAGTCGTGAAAATGGTGCTAAAAAATAACATGAAATAAACCAAATGAATCTCTGGTGTTTCATTCATTCAATGTTCCATTTAAGCTTCGACAAATGAAACCTGTGAAGAAGCTCAGATGAAAATGCGAAGCCACCAATACATAATGAAACTCTGCTGCCCCCTAGTGGAGAGAGATTGTAACAAAAATATAAGCAGCATCCAAAGACAGACGAAAGCGCTGCATCTACAGAGTTATTAAACAGAAAGGATGGTATATGTACATTATTATGCTGTTAGGAAACATTAGTCCAGGTATAACAAGTCAAGTCTATGTATGTTGTATTGGGTGCATTCTAGCATCAAAAACTGGCTTGCTATCAGCAGCAATTCCAGAGTGGGCTTTTAACTGCATTTTAGCACTATTAACAAGTACACTTGTGTTTCAAAGTTTGGATTCACATTTTAAAAGTTAGGAATCACTGTTTAATACATTTTTTAAAATGTGGCAGATACGTTTGCACTATAATTTATGATGCTACTGCTGTACAACTTCACAGATTTCAATTATGTAGTACAAAGCTGTCAAAAATGAACTAAAACATGAGTGAATGAAGATTCTGACAGAGATTTTGAATGAACATTCCCTTAATCAGTAATCAAATAAATTAGATATTGTAATCAATAACCAAATAGGTAGTATTGGCTAACAGAGAATATTAATTCTCTCACAAAGGGTAGGCCTTAGTCTGTCTACATAGGAGATTCCAGACACTGGAAAGCCCCTGGGTTCAAAGACAGGTCTGTCTGTACTTACTGACCCAGTGAAGAGAGGGCAAGTTGATCTTGAAAGGTAAAGCAGACTGGTAAAAACCAGTTGAAACCAGTTTTTAGGAGTGAGCGCAACATGTGATGACCAAATTGATGGACAAAGAGATGCACCTATTAGAGAACAAGCCAATATCAAAATTTGAGAAGTAAGGCAGGGGGATATCAAATTACCCCAGATAAATGGTACATAAACTGTTGTTTGGAACACTGTGTTTGCGCAGTCGGGTCTCTGTGCCACCTGAAATAAAAAAGAAGCCTTTTTCCCTTTTCCACAAACTCAGCATCTGAAGACTCTTTCCTTTTTGACATCTTTTGAGAACTTAGAACAGTTATTAGTGTAGGTGTTTAGCCAGTATTAAAAGATTTCTTTTTTATTTATAATATTATGTTGGAGGCCTGGGGTTGAAGGGGATAGCCCTTGGTCCCGACAATTCCTTAAAGACATTGAGAATAATGTAATAATAAAATTAACATCCAAAATGCCTCACATTTCAAAAGTGGAGATCAAATCTCACAGTAAAAAACCTACCAAGAAATTAATTAATAAATAAATGTTATCTATTAATACTGATTAAAACCTTCAATATTTAATACAACATTGATATACACTCTGCTGTCTAGCTTATAGTATTTCAATCTATACTGTATAACTTCAAATGTATTAAAAATAATACCAATTATTCAAAGGACAAGTGATTCCAATTTTTTGAACATTTCAGACACCAAAACATTTCTTACAAAAATGGCCAAAAGTAGGTCTTTCAGTTTTCAGCCAAGAGAGAAAAAAGGCCTAAAATTTTGGCTGAAAATAACAAGCTATAAGTGAAAGTCAGTGGTCGATCTCATGTGCACCTTAACAAAATTTTTGCACTGCAGTTTCAGATTGTGCAAAGAAAAACAAACTCGCAAAGCATGCACTTTAAATTTCCCCAAGAGTGAAACCAAGTAGACTGCTATACATACATCATCATCCTCCATGGTATCATTATCATCATCATCGTCGTCATCATCGGCTGTACTGCCTCTGTATCCTGGTGGGAGTGGGGGTCCTACCAACTCATCATCATCATCGGCCTGGGCAGTGAGGCCTGGAGGGACCGGAGGGCCGATGAGTTCTGAGTCACTGCTGTCATCGCTGTCCTGCTGCCTGCTTAGAAGAACAACTACAATAAGAACCAAATTCCCAAAGACTCAAACAGAACTGAAATTTCAGCCAACTATTAACTGCCAAATAAATAACTGTGATTAGCAGCTGAACTGCCTTTTTAAAAGATAATTATACTAAAAGCCTGTACTGAAGTACAAGTTTAAAGTGACCAAATTGACCAACTTTCTTCCGAGCTGTCGATATTTAGTAGCTTCCAGCTGATGACAGAAACAGCCCAAGCTCGAATAAACCACCAGTACTCACAGCTGCCCCTTTCAGGTGTCATAGCACCTGTTAGACATTAGAACTTTTGTTACCCAATAAATGCAAATGGGTAGAATAAGTGGTTCCACTTACTCAGCTACAGACACTTTGAGTATTTCCAAATGATAACACTTCTACTCAAGCATAGTTGTGCAAAAAGCAACCTACATTTGATCTAATTTTTGCTCACGCAACATTTTAGTCATTAACATTTAGTTACTAATTCCTTGTTGGCTATAATTTTATTCTGTTGGTTCAGCTCCTGCATGGCTTTCCAATTATTTTAGGGTAAAAGGATCCCTAAAAGGGAAGAATACTATTCATATTAATATACTTAGAAAGCCCCTAAGACCTTGAGTTCCAGTGCCGATAGCTCCACTGCAGTTCTATAGGGAATTCAAGTTGTTTTTCGGAAAGACACTCAAGTCATTATTTAATTCAAGTTACAATTGATTTGCCACTATAACTGTAGTCAACATTCAGGGCTTAGGGTTTAATATTGGTGCAAAATTCCTGAAAACAGATGGGGCATGCCTGGTTTAAGAAATAGCTCTGGCATTAAGACTCACCTGGAAGTGGATGCTGATGGTCTTTCCCTTCGCTTGGAGGCAGTGCTGGGACCACCGCTCAGTGCTCCTTGAGTTTCTTTCTGCCTATCCTCTGTGAAATACAAGAGAGCTTTATTATAGACCAGATCAGAACAGCATCAACTACTCCACACTGTCAAGACATATTTCCAAATATACATCGAACAGCCATAACATTAAAACATTCTACACTCATTGTCTGTTTTATCAGCTCCACTTACCACATCAATGCACTTTGTATTTCTACAATTACAGACTGTAGTTCATCTGTTTCTCTGCATGCTTTCTATTATTTGGGTGGTGGATCATTCTCAGCACTGCAGTAACACTGACGTGGTGGTGGTGTGTTAGTGTGTGTTGCGCTGGTATGAGTGGATCAGACACAGCAGTGCTGCTGGAGTTTTTAAACACCTCAGTGTCACTGCTGGACTGAGAATAGTCCACCAACCGAAAATATCCAGCCAACAGCGTCCTGTGGGCAGCATCCTGTGACCACTGATGAAGGACTAGAGGATGACCAACACAAACTGTGCAGCAGCAGATGAGCTATCGTCTCTGACTTTACATCTACAAAGTGGACCAACAAGGTAGGAGTGTCTAATAGAGTGGACAGTGAGGGGACACAGTGTTTAAAAACTCCAGCAGCACTGCTGTGTCTGATCCACTCAGACCAGTGCAACACACACTAACACACCACCACCACGTCAGTGTTACTGCAGTGCTGAGAATGATCCACCACCCAAATAATACCTGCCCTTGGTGGTCTTAACCTTTGAAGAAGAGGGTGTAAGGGGCTCACAAACTATGCAGAGAAACAGATGGACTACAGTCTGTAACTGTAGAACTACAAAGTGCACCTATATAGTAAGCAGAGTTGATCAAATGGACAGCGAGTGTAGATCCAAAGCGGTGCACTGAATGAAGTGGCCGGTCAGTGTATTCACCTACATATTTAACAAAACCTTCGTTTTTCAAAAGCTCCACAAAACTGACCTAAAACTCGTTGACTCCTTTCAATGGCCGTCCTCCGAGTTTGCTCAAAAATGGCTTCTAAGTCAAATGTTCGAGCCTTTTTTCCTGTCGGAATATGAGAGGGAAGAAATAAGGATATATTACGACCACGACACACTACAATATTCCACAAATATAAAAGTCTCAAGCCTAAATTAGCTACAAAAGTATTAAAAATTATTCAGCAGCAAAAGTAAAGCTACTCACCAAAGCCAGAAAAGCCCATAACAGAGGATATATCTTCGCCGGTCTTTTCTGAGGAAAAATAAAAACATACATTAAGAAGCTGAAGCCAGCCTCTTGTTCGAATTTTCCCGTTCCACCTTAAATGGTGCAGCAGTTACATTCTGGCGCCTCAAGTCAGAATGTAAATGCTGCACCATTTAAGGTGGAACGGGAAAATGTAAACACGAACCTGGTGAATAGCAAGCCAACTCCAGCCTCATATAAATATCAGTCACAAACAAATGAACTATGAACTGAATAACTGGTTTTGTTTGTAAGTTTAAAAGGAAGTTATTCAGTCAGTCAGTCAGCCCCTGTGCTCGCTAATGTTAGCTTGATGTTAGAGAAAATTCACCTAATAAGCAGCCAGCTAGACAATAAAGTTAATATATTTTATATTTCTGGTCAAAATGATTATAGTACTGTGTCGTACTGTACAAATAAAATTGCTACCCCATTTACATACACAACTAAGAACATAAATAAAGTCAAACACACCATCATCTCTTCCACTGGCCGCCATTCTTCTTGAGTGTCAACATTAGAAACCGTTTCTGGAGCGCTTTAGCGCTACCTGTCAAAATAAAAGTCCAGGCTTCAGTTTCAAGTCTTTACTCCAGATGCGTACATTTTTTGTCTTGGGGGCAAAAATGTATTGTTTGTGGTGGGGAGAGGGCCAAAAAGACAAAACCAGTATACAAATAAAGAAGGTAGGTAGGATTTTTTCAAAAAAATGTATAACATTACAGTGTATTTTGTAATCAAAATACTTAATTTGTATTTATTTGTAAGAGGAAAATAAGAATTTGGTAAGGTATATATATTAAATATAATATAAAATATGTTTGTTCTTTCGTTGTGCGAAGGGGTGGGGTTAAAAGAAAATTTTTCTAAATTTCTGCATAATTAAATGTCATATCAACCAAATTATTCAGAGTGGTTTAGTGTGAAATACTTTGTTATTGTGTCAGAATTGTTCACAGTGGTGGTGAAAGGAAGCAGGTGTCTGATGAGTTTTATGTCTCTAAATGTTCCCTCACATAAAGTTGTTACATGAAATGGATATGAACACTCAGGTCAATGTCAGAGACATTGTTTTATGATAACGTTTTGGTCTAAAATGAATTTTAATGGAGGGACACATGCAGGGTGTTCTAAGGCAAAATAGTCCCCAAAGAAAACTTGTTTTTTCAGGTTAACCTGAGTAGCCTTGGTTTATATGCTACCAGTGGTCACAAACCCTGGTCCAGGAGATCCACTTTCCTACAAAGCTTGGTTCCAACTGCAATCTGCCACACCTGCTCCAGCTAATTGACTTCTTCAGAAGGCCTTGATTGGCTGGATCTTAGCATTACCTGAGGGGAGGGACAGCCAGTTATACAGCAGACCCAAAAAGTAGTTGGACATTTATGTCATAATTTCATTCAGTCATCTTTAAAGCCACTTCACCTCCTGGGTTGAAGCCTATCCTAGCGCTCACTCGGTGGAAGGCAGGAAACACCCTGGACAGGTTGCCAGTCCATCACAGGGCAGACACACACATTCACACCTAGGGGCAATTTAGCATCTCCAATTGGCCTGACTGCATGCCTTTGGACTGTGGGAGGAAACCCACTCCACAGAGAGAGGACCCTGGTCACCTGGCCAGGGAATCCATCCCAGGCCCTTCTTGCTGTTAGGCTTTACACAATAATGCCACAACAAAAACAGGAACCTACTAGTAGAGGGACTTTGTCAATTTTTAATAACAAATAAAATATTTTGCTTGGACTAAACAATATATTTTAATAGTACTGGACATGTACACCATGTTCAGGCTTACATGTCTTTACAGTCAGAGTTCCTTTTGATGATCAATAAACACAAGCTCACTGGCACCACTGTAAAAAAAAAAAACCAACAACAAAACAAACAAAATAAAAACAGCCCCAGACCGTTCCACCTCTGTTCTTTACAGTAGTTTGATGTTGTGCTAAAAGTGTTTGTCTCTGAAAACAGTATCATTTTCTTACATTTTTTATGAAGCGACCTAAAAAAACTTTAAACAAAGTTTACCAACAGGTAAAACAAAGTGTCCAAATACTTTTTGGGGCCACTGTATGTCCAAAAGTATCCAGAACACTCCTAATTCTTGAGCTATTTAAAAGGTGCACCCATTGCCGACACAGATGATCAGCAGCTTCTGTAATTGCCAAACAAAAGCTTTGACAATATAATGGGACGCTCTGGAGCAGCTTCACATAAGCCTAAGATTAGAGATGCCATCAGGCTATGAATCAGTGGAACGGTGTTCTCTGGAGTGAAGCAGCTCCATCCACTACCTCTGGGATGAGATGGAAATCCAGAACTAATCATCCAACATCAGCACCTGACCTCACTAATGCTCTTGGGGCTAAATGCAATCAAATAATATTGCCCTAGAATAAAAGATAACTAGAATAAGCAGTCTTAATGCTTTAATGGTGGCAGGCAGAATTATGTTGAACATGAACATATAATTCTTTTTTGTCAAAAATAAATTTTATTTAAAAAAAAAATTCAATATATTACAAATACCAAACAGACGATATTTTTTTACACCAACAACCTTTCTATTTCGATTTCATTTTTCTGCCAATTCTTGTGAAAAATCAGATATTAATGCTGTAAATTAGGAGAAAATAATTAAACAATGCAGTAACAGATCAAATAAATATGTTTAATTCAATACAAAACCTGAACAGAACTAGATCGCTGTATCCAGCATTTGCTAATTACCTGCTTTATTATTAAAAAGCTTCTCTAAATATGCTTAACCTGTACAGAGCTAATCAGATATACTATACAATTTGGATTAAATATTCAGTCATAAACCAGGCAATAACAAAACACACAGTCAAGAACAATGCTGATGGACGAAAGCAGCAGCCATATACTTAAGTCATGTCTGTCCAGCCTTTCAGCACTCCTCCCTTTCTTCAGTTAGACCTCTCCTTCTTCAGCCACTATCCTCTCAATGGCCGCCCAGTCTAGTTTACTCAGCATGCTGCCAGTGCTCTCTGAAAGGGTCTCTAGTCTGTCCTGATCAAACTCCACCTGGTCCTGGACAAAACACCAAATACGAGATTGATGTAAACATGATGTACATATGCAGATGTTGAAGATGGCTTGCACAAATTGTTCAAAATCTTTGTGTAATTCAATCACAAACAGGTAAACAGTCATTCAGAGTAGTTTGATGTGAAATGCTTCGTTCTAGAGAAACGTACTGAGTCAGAATTGTTCGCAGTGATGGTGATAGGAACCAGACGTGTGAAGAATTTGATACCTCACAGAAATGGTTATATATACACTGCTTGATGTCTGAGACATTGTTTATTCATTCATGGTGGAGGGATACATGCAGGGTGCTGTAAGGCAAAATGGTCCCCAAAGGACACTTAAGTTTTTCAGATTTACCACAATTTTATTATCATCCATATTACATCTAAAAACTTTTTGGACAGCGCATAAAACGGCTATATTTGTGTTCCTATCACTACCACTTTAAAGAATGGGTGTCGGCAATTTTTCGGCAATTAACCATTTCATATCAAACCACTCCGAAAGACTTAGTTTACATCTCCATTATTGAATTATATACACGGTTTGAAAATTTGGTGGAATTCTTTAGAAACATAGGCATAGATTAATGAGGGCGGTGGGATGTATGGAGGGGGATGAACTGTCCCGCCAAGTAATTCAACATCCAGACTTTGTGTTTTTAATAGGGTGTTATGAAATTTTACCAGAAAAGCTTTTTTTAAAATCACATGTTCTTAAACAATTATGGCTTAAAGAGAGAGGATCTTTTCTAATGTTCAAGACTGTCAAAGCTGTTTAAAAGTGAGGTAAACTAAGCAGGACACTGCCAGCTCATTATCTACCACAGACTGTAGCTCCCCTGGATTAAAACAGTGCTGTAGACTAATTTGTAAGCTATATGTGTCTAGCTAGTAGGTCTGACAGATTTATTTACTTTGTTAAACAAAAAAACGTCTACATCTGAAGGTGTCTGTGTGATACCAAGGTATGTCTAACTAGGGGCTGTCTGGTTGGACTGAAGAGTCTAAGTTTGAGCCCCGTTGTCCGGGGCCTGGTTGGTGCTGCTGACCAGACGTTAGAATGTCCAGTTAAGTCTCACTCTAGAAGCGTGAGCAGTGGTATGAGCAGTGCGCAACCCCAAAGAAATCTACACCACTGGTTAAAACAAATCAAACCACACTGCCATGTGGAAACGTATTAAAGAAATTGTCACAGCATTTTAGATAAGCAATCTGGATTCAACTGCTTCCCACCTGCTCCATGTCATGGTTTTCAAGTCCAAGAATCCTGCGAATCTCGAGGGGCGTGTCCCAAGGACTCACTACATCTCGTTCCTCTGTGTCCTCCTGGTAGGGCTCTCGCTGTTTTAGAGTCTGCTGTGCGGCTGGGGACTCGTTCGGCCTTGTTTGGGGCCCTTTATAATGGCAGGACAAAAACAGGTAATACAAATCACACTTTCAGTTAAGAACATCAGGCAAAGGCAGCTGACTTAATCAATCAATGTGAATATATATGAATGAAAGCTTACGTGGAGCTGTTATCTTCACTCTTGGTCGACCTCTCAGGTCAGTCAGCATGCCCCGTCGTGTAACCTGGGAAAGCCGGTCACCAGGAAGTGCGCTTGCTAATTGGATAAAGAAGTAAAGAAGTATTCATTAGGGGCTTAAAAATGCCTTGATGCACCATGATGGAAAATCTGAGGGTGGTGACTGAATTACATTGATTTTAAAATGTTGCAATTGATTATAATGGATTCAATAATAGTAAGACAATAGTATTCAATAATGTATGCAGTTACTTTTTAAATTCAAATAAGTAAGTAAAGTAAGTTGGGTTTAAAGGTTTAAAGGTTTATTTGTTTATCTGTTTAAAGTAATCTAAATGAATAGTGGTACAAGTTAAGATTTCACAATGCACAAAACTGTTCTGAAGGTAGTAAGAAGGGATGCACCGAAATTCCATGTTTTTATATGAACTATTTTATTATCTATTGTTAGCTTGGTTTTGACCTACCAAAAGCACATTTTATCAAAGGTGTATTTTCTGTATTACCTTGTAGTTTTATGTATAGTTTGTTTATTCAAAAGCATCATTAAAAAATAAACAAACAAACATGCCCTTTCTTCTGCTTTTCAGTTTTGTTTTTTGTGTCTTAAATTCCAGTTTCAGCATGGAATTTTCATTCTGGTGCATCACTAGCTGTGAGGTCAGTGATTCACATCCCTACTAATGATTATATATATGAAAGCTGTGACATCAAAGTTCTCCTACATTACAGAATACATGTCTAAGCACACAAACCTACATATACAAAGTGCAAACGGAGCTTCCAAGTTAATAACTTTTAAATTAATTTTTAGCATATTTCAAAAAATGAAGGAAAAAAGCACCTGGCCTATGGAGTCCAAGTCTGCTGCTAAGGATCCCAGGTGGTCCTGATGCACTTCTCCTCTGGAGCACTACGGTCCTCCCAAGTGCTGAGACAGAA